TACAAACTGTTCATTTTCTCGATATATTTACTTAAGAAAATAGTTTCATAATTCATATGTTATACAGAATTCAATCGAAATATTGAAGCTAGACCACCAAGGAAAACCTGAAAGCACTGGACGGCTGTTTCGTCCTATTGTAGGACTCCTTTTGCAGTGCGCATCCACGATCCCACATCGCGAGATTCGAAATCAGATCCTATCAGTCTCGAGCACGAGCGCTTAACCATTAGACCACTGAGTCGGCATCTAATATACAGTAATATTTATATGCATATACGAAATTATTAAACCAATCAAGATAGTTTATGAGACAATGATAACAATGGAATAGATTACGTAAATAAACATAATAATTGAAAAGTACAAATTGATACTGTGATGACAAGTGTACTAGTGTACTAGAATAATGAAGGTTGTATTCCTACTTGTTTTCCTTATAGTGTTCGATCTCACCTCTTACACATAGCAGAAGCTATAAGAATTCGAGCCAACAATCCAAGTCTTTGTGTTTTCAAAAATTTTTTAACTCCCTTATCTCTCCCTTGGCCTTAATAAATGATTTTATTTATTAACATTTTCCATACTCTTTCTTCGTTTATTTCTCTTCACACCCTCCCACCCTTTTCTTTTCTCAAATGTACGCTTCATAGTCTAATTATCTGAACACCCCTAATTACGTAATCTTTTAATCTTTCAGTTATAATCTCTTTCTTACGGTTATGACCCAGCTATTCCTATTGCTTAGTAATCTCGGACACCGATTCACTCGACAAGTCCCCAGATCAGAACACGGTTGAACAGGAAAGAGATTATATTCCAAATAACAAGGTTAGATGGAAGTAAGAAGCAAGTGAGAAGCACAATGGAGAAAACGTTAGTATATTTATAGTTTTTACATGAGATTTTATTATATTTTACAACTATCGACTAGTGCTGATAGGATAAGAATTAGCCAATCAGCGTGCACCAAAGCAATCGTGCATTGAACATGCTTTAATCCAGTCTATATCCCGCTAACATTTCCTATGAATGATATTACAATATCTATTTTTTTTAATCATTGACCTATTTCCGATTATGTAACATTGTTTTAAGCTTTTCTTATTGTTATCAAAACTAGTACACCTTTCATTACACTACCAATGTTTATTTATGTAATCTATACCATTGTTATCATTGTCTCATAAACTATCTTGATTGGTTTAATAATTTCGTATATGCATATAAATATTACTGTATATTAGATGCCGACTCAGTGGTCTAATGGTTAAGCGCTCGTGCTCGAGACTGATAGGATCTGATTTCGAATCTCGCGAAGTGGGATCGTGGATGCGCACTGCAAAAGGAGTCCTACAATAGGACGAAACAGCCGTATATTAGAGTAAAGCTTGATGAGAATCTAATCGAAAACAATATTGTTCACTAATATATATGTTGTTCTAAATGACAATCAATTAGCTTAAAAGTTTTCTATTATTTGTACTATTTTCTATCCGTTTTGATTATTTTTCAAAGTTTTGTATTGATAGACATTGTTTGTTCTTTTATGAAATCAATCATCTCAACGATACAATGACTCACTACATTGAGCTGATCACATATTCTATACTGATTAAATGATTTCAATAGTACCACACGTATGAATGTTTTTTTCTAGAAAACATTTACATTTTTTTTGTTTTGATCACATGTGTAAAGAAAATTTAAAAAAAAGTTGATTATACCCTTTTTCTTTTCTATTGATTATCGATCAATTTACATTCCATAATAAAAGTGTCGTGTTTTAGAATGATAAATTTACGCGTGTTACCATGTAGTTGATAGTGTTTCTTTTTCAAATTAGCAACAAAAACTAGACTCATTATTCAATAAACTATTCACATGTTTTAACACTTTTTTTTACATTTAAAAACTAATCCCCTCCGTAATGTCATCATGTAATTGATTGTGTGTATAGATTGCTTAAATAAAGCTTTGAAGGTTTTTAATAAACATTGATAGATGATAGATATCGGCATTTGAAGAAATGAGATGTATGAGCAGAGTTGTTGTAAACTGAAATGTTGTGTGTTTCTGGAAGTTGGCACTGTACTTATAACTGAAACAAGAGTCATATGGCAATCAATCGATAAGAAAAAAGTATGAAGAATTTTAAGATCAGAGATCAAGTCTGGAAGGTGTTGGGACAGCTTCCAAAAACTACAACAGAGCCTTCAGAGGTCACAGATGAGCCGAAGTGTTCCATCCAATCAGAACATGGTGGAGCTTTCTAGAATATCAACGTGGCATGCTGCTATTGACCAGTTGTATAACATGCCTCTTCGCAGATTAGTTGAATTATAATGTTGATTTAACAAACTTATGATTTTCTGTACATTTTAATTCTTGCCCAACAAGCACTTTCTCCAGTCTTCTGTCTTCTAACGTTCGAGCGCTCAAGTTATATGCGGTATATTAAGAACATAAGATTATGATATAAAAACTGGCCACGGGGTTAACCTATCAAAATGTCATTTACCTTTGACCAAGTTGAAGCTTCGCTAGAGCGTCATGAAGAAACTTTACGAACAGTTCCAGATTCGTATTCTAGAAGCTTATAAGTACAGGTAATGAGTGGCCGGAAAGTTTATTTTATACATAAGCAAGACAGTTCAAACAAACAAACTCCATCCTCGTGCTGGTTATGCGGTGAGTGGCACTACAAGAAATTTCGCCCATATAAAAACCATGGTTTTACTAAATGTCATCGTAAGGGCCATAAAGAATCCAGCTGCAGAAAAAGAACTCACCGTCATCCTTTGAGAATCTATTTGAAGAAATATAGATCTGGTGTTATAACTCACAAAATAATGACATCTCATAACCGAGCACAAATTCACTGCCGAAGAAAGTACGTAACTTTGGATATTAATAAACAACGTGCTTACCTACAACTTGATACAGCATCTGGTATCACTTTCATCAACCCAGAAACTTGGAGGAAAATTGGGAGACCCACAGTTTATCCAACAACACAACTAGCGGACAGTGTATCTGGTGGGTAGTTAAATATTGTTGGTGAAGTACCCTGCACTATTTTTAAAGGTAGTGTGACAACGAATGCAATATCATACTTTACAAAAAGTCCAGCACTTGACTTGTTGGGATTAGATCTGATAGAGACAACAAAGCTAGCATAGCATTTGATTAACAGCATCTGCAGCATAATCAGAACTGATAACCCCTTAGAGTGCAAGCAGAAAAATGCTGTGCTACAAAGACAGCACCACGTGTTTATAGAAGGATTGGGAGAAAGTACGAAAACCGAAGCACTACTAACCGTCAAAAATGGAGCTACTCTCGTTTTTCGACCTAAGAGACCCGTGCCGTATGCTGCCCTTTCAGTAGTTGAACAGGAATTAAAACGGCTTCAGAAAATGGGTGCTCTCGAACCTGTAAACTTCTCAGATTGAGCTGCACCAACAGTGGCGGTTACGAAGTCTAATGGAAGCGTTCACTTATGTGCAGATTACTTCACCGGACTAAATGAAGCTCTAGAGTCTTATCAGTATCCTTTACCCCTCCAGCAAGATCTCTTCGCTAAACTGCGGCAGGCATTTTGCAAAATTAGATTTATCAGACGCATATTTACAAATCCCTGTGTCTGATGAAAGTAAATATCTCTTAATGACCAATATGCATAAGAGTCTGTTCCGACAAAATCAACTACTTTTCGGAGTGAGGACGGTGCCCTCTATTTTCCAGCAAATTTTGGATAACATGTTACAAGGTATTTCAGGAGCGGTAGCTTATTTAGACGATATCATAATTATGGGAGCAGACAAAATAGGCTTCCAGAAAAAACCGGATCAGGTGCTAGAAAGCATGGCCGAATATGGTTTTCGCCTCCGCGTGGAAAAGTGTGACATTTATATGCAGCAGGTACGATATCTCGGTTTCATAATACATAACGATGGAAAACAACCAGATTCAAAGAAAATCAAAGCTCTGAAAACTATGCCTAGATCTAGGGGTATTCCTACCCTATGATCTTCCTTCGGACTGGTCAGTCATTATGGTACGTTCTTCCGTAATCTCTATCATCTGCGTGCTCAACTAAACCACCTGCTAGAGAAGAATACAAAACGGGATTGGTCGGCGAACTACCAAGAATCTTTCGAAAAACTCAATGTGTCATGCTACTACTGATCTCTTCGCAGATTAGTTGGATTATAACGTTGATTTAACAAACGCTAATATCTATAAATACATATGATTTTCTGTACATTTTGATTCCTGCCCAACATACACTTTCTCCAGTCTTCTGTCTTCTAACGTTGGAATGCTCAAGTTATATGCGGTATATTAAGAATTTAAAATCTAGATATAACAGAGGGATGATAAATGAAGAAAACACGTGAATAACAGTAAATCAAATTCCAGAACAAACTATTAGTTAACTGTGGATAAATCCTAACAACTAACTGCTTTTTAAATTATGTACAAATGATGCTGTCTATAAAGGCAATGAAACCACTAAATCCATAGAACAAAAGATTTTCAAAATCCTAATCACATGCAACAAATATTCGCTATCAAATAACTACACAGTTCTTCGTATCAGAAGTATATGTAAACAATTTAAATCATACCTTGAACAATGTATGGCAATGAGATATTGTTCAGTTAGAAGATAACGTCATTTCAATGAACTGAAATATGTTAGATGGTTAATAAAATCATTACAATTTCGTCCATTCACAAAACCTGGTATAATTCATATTTTCAATACGTACTTTTCTATCTAGTTGTAGACGATTACAAGTACCATGTAATACAAATAGAACTATCCTTCCTTATTACTACACTTTAAGTAGACTTTATGCGACTTGTGTTCTTCTGTAATAAAGTTAAGGTTCTGCAAAAGCGATAAAATATAAAGTGCATACTGACTGTATAACTATTGTATTAACAGTTTCATTATACGAATAATAATAATAATAATAATAATAATAATAATAATAATAATAATAATAATAATAGAAATTAACATTTTAACACAAAAGTTGCCTACAATTTATAAGTCAAACATTGTTTCTTCACATAAGTTACATTGTTATTAAGTTGATAAGTGAGTTAAACATAGTGAAGCTCTATCCTGATTTATAAAGTAGTACAGCATACTTCTCCACGTAAAAATAGATGAAACTATCCGGTTCATGTGTTACAGAACTGAAATATTCCATGAACAAGAAAAATACCAATAATAATAATGATTATTATAATGAATACAATCAAATAAAAAAAGAAACACAATTTCATCAAAATACAACAGTTAGATTTGGTAATAAAAAATAGATTGTTTGTGATGAGTAGAAAATTGTATTTTTGGCGTTTCGTGACTTAATCTAAGTGACTTCTTCAGAGTAAATAGATATTTGATTGAGATCATGAATCGACTGAAAACCTAGAAGGACTGGATGGCCATTTCGTCCTGTTGTGGGACTCCTCAGCAATGCGCATCCACGATTCCTTTCGTAGGATTCGAACCCAAAGCCTTTGGTTTCGCGCGCGAACTCTTAACCTCAAGTCACCAGTGAGCTCCCAGGTTTTCAATGTTGGTCTAACATCAATCGGTTCATGATCTCATTCAAAAACTTGACAGTTTCCACAATCCCATAGTGATAATAACTATCTTAACTATTAATCCTAATGACAGTGGAAAAACTAATGTTCTTCAAATTTAAGTATAGATTTAAAACTAATTAAAAAATGTGGTTTCATATTTAAAACACAAATCAATAGTAGTTTGTCACTATTACTAACCGCCGTTAATTTCTCTTAACAACTGAGGATGATCTTTAGTTATAAGATTCAAAACTAGGATACAATCAGTAATTGATTAGCTCAAAGTATAAGAATAAAACATTAGCTATTCACTGATAAACAGTAGTTTTCATAACTTCATAGCCGAAATGAAACGAACATGAAGATTACATAATATTTCTATCATTACATAATAAATTACTTTTGTTTTATTCTCAAAACAAGCAACTAATTAGAAATAATCAGGGAATTTCATAGTTCACGCGAACGCTCTTGTTGGTATTTTATCCTAATACAAATGATAATTATTAAATTTTTGATGATAAACAAGTTTTCAAAGGTTAACAAATTATTGATCAACAGTTAATGAAGAAGAACACAAAAGAGAAGTCAATGAGGTGTAACATTAACAACGAGGTAGATAGTGACTACCTTGGACTTGGAATTATTGGTTATTTGGTTGGATCAATACATTTAGTCGGGCAGTCACAGTTAGTTGGAAGCAGACTGAACTGAGAATATACACTCATCTCATCGGAGGATTTAATTCAACTGCAATTCCAGCCAACTGATCGAGTTACTCACTACACTGGTATTAAGTATTTGGATTTCAGAGATGAAATTCTTCCAAACCAGGGAAGAAAACTATATTTCCCAGTGTGGTGGATGGGTTTGGAGATCTTTACGACAAATTTTAAAAGGTTAACATACTATTGATCAACAGTTAATGAAGAAGAACACAAAAGAGAAGTCAATGATAATTTGCTGAGATTTTATAAATACATATTCTTCCTCTTTAATGTCTCACGTTAACTCGGCGCCAAAATACTGTGAAACGATTCGACCAAATCTAGACAGAAGTTCTTGTATATGACAGTGGTATTTATTATCGGTATATCATATGACAAATAAGCGATTTGAGTTTGTTTTTATTTCAATTAATTACTACTTAATCAACAAAAGAAGCAGAACCATTGTAAACAAGTTGTTACATCAGGTTCTATGATAAATATTCATGTGATATCGAAATTATGAAAATCGTTTTATTAAGTCTACTGATATCAGTCAGTCAGTAACAACATAGAACTTCGTACGTACGTACATCAGTTTGAATTGCCATACCACATTAGCACAGAGATGCAGTTGTCGATTCAAATCCCGTAGTGGTAGGGGCGGTAGACTATGAGCAGTAATCGGAAAGATTAGGGTTTGAAGATGTTATTTAAAGAGTATAATCCAGTGAAATAAATTTGGAAAGAGAAAAAAAGAAACAAGGAGGATTTAGGGTATTAGAATTTGGGAGAACACAAAGAGTGGATGTACCTGTGCCACTGCAAACGATTTTGAGTCATGTCATTCAAGGTCTCTAACCATCGATTGCTATGATGGCATTCTCACTATAAAAAATCATGCTTTCATGAATGATCAGATGGGACAGTACTATCAATACTTCACTTTACTTTGTTTAAACAGTTTAAATAACCATTTGTTTGAATTTATTATTTGATTTGTAACAAATAGACGATTGAGATGGAACAAAATGCTCTACTAGGTAGCAACAATAATTGAAATTCCATCCGGTTGTATTTCTGTTTTAAAATTGGTTATTAATTATGTTTTCAGTACGCAAACATCTGATGTGTAAGAGCATTATTTTGAACGAACTGTTTTATTGTATGAAGTCTAAGCTAGAAAATATAACTTCCTTTTGAATTATATTGTGGTGTATACTACTAATGCTGACAGATTTCAATAGTGTATAGTAGCAATCAGAAGTGAAATATTTGCCAGCAAACTATTGAATTGCAGAGAAGAGGAAACAAAAGCGAAAGCAATTAAGATAACAACAGAATTGAAAGAATGATGAATTAGATAAAGGACAACTGAAGGAAGATGTACAAATAATGCATTTACTGTATGATTTTCATATTTTATAATGGTACTGTGTAATTATGTATAGTACAATGAATTGATTTTCTCCACACGAGTTCTTGTTCACTACAGTATAGAAATACGATCACTTTACAGGAGCAATGTTAATTATTTACAATCATTGTTATAGTTTTGATTAACTTTGCCCAATCTATTACTTAATATGATAATTTCTTCTGAAAATTATAATCCACATTGTTTCTTAAACTAACTAAGATAATTCCCAACACAAGAAATGTAAATTCATACCCTTGGCTACAGCAAGTAGTCATTGTTCTTATTTGAACCACTAAAAGCTACATATCCCCAGCTTCTTTTATAAGAATCCAAAGAGATTAAAAATGTTTATATAAACAATCAACCTAAAAATACTCTGAATACGACAGTCTGATAATCCTTGATTTCGTATATCTTACACTACACTGTAGAAAGTGTATTAAGATATGAGTAGAGGTAAACAAACTTGGAACTTCTAAGCTGAATATGTAGAAGAGGAGAATCACCTCATATGGCCTATGCGGTAATATGACCACGATTTTCGACTGAGACCTTTCAGATTACAGTATCCGTGCGACATAACAATGTCATTATCAATGTCAAATGTTTGTGAAATTTTTATTTTGAGGAGTCATTTACCATTTGATGGTAACTAGTACATTACTTACCTCTATTATTGCCTATTAACACATGAAGTGAGATAAGGAATAAATCCATGTATACACTATGACTGACTTTTAAATTTTTAACCAAACGTCTCTAGACACTGGTTACGTTTATTCTTCGGAATCCATTCAAATAATGTTAATTCAACATATACAACTCAGACAAACAATTGGCAATTACATAGACTTTTGTCACGTCAAAGTTTGTCCTCACTATGATTTTCTACAACATAATTCTACTCTAACCTGCATTAAACGTAGACGTAGGTGGCGATTGCTTGTGCGTAGCACATATCTCAGCCAGCTCAGTTAATAAAGATTCACGGTCTCAGTAACATGTTTGCCAAGTTTTTTTGAGTATGTAAACATTCAGCAAGCTTCCTACAATCGTGCTGTAATCTTGTTATGCTTTAAATGCTAATCAAAGGCTCTTTATGTTATAAGAAGAGTATTAAAATTATAAAAGCATCGAGTTCGCATTAGAGTACAATCAGGTGAAACTCTTGTATCTCTTCTGTGTAAGAATATTTCATTTCATGGTCCTCTAGTAATCTCAAAAGTATCAGTAGTTATTGTTGTAGCAGTACCAGCACTAGCAGCAGTTCCAAGCAAACAATCATTTCAGATTACTTGTAAATAATATACACATTAACATCTAAGGTTGTTAACTGATATAATCTTATTCGACTTGCTTATTTATTATAATTTAGTGTTATTGATCAAACAAAGAGGCTATGATCTAATCTAAATTCAAATAACTTCTTTGAACACGATAAGTTTCAGGTGAAGTTGCATTCCCTAAGCTGGGTGGTTTATTGTCGTTCTAGACAATATAATCCGTAAATACTTTATAAAAAGTGAGGAAATCAAATATATCTGAATATGACCATCAGCTTATTCTGTTGTCGAATTTATTATCAAATAGTTGTAGTTAAACCTTATCATGTCGTTGCTTGTTCAATTATTTTAATTGTCATACCCTTTATCTTAACTTTACAGCTCAGATTAGACAAATGTCATACTAATATTTCATTAAATATTTATATTATCAGTGTTGGATTTTATGGAGTTTTAAGAAGTTTCTTAAATTTTAAACTGCGAACAGATATTAGTTAGGCGAACATAGAAAACTAAGAAGCTTTAGACAGCTATTTCGTTTAAGCGTGAGACTCTTCAGTTATGCGTTTCTATGACCCCGCAATAGTAAATCAAACTCAGAAATTTTGGTCTCGAACTCGAAAACTAAACCTCTGTGCAACTGGTAGTGTACACTTTTAGTTTCAATTAGTTCACAATATTATGAGACTATCTTCAATTACCCGTGGTAGATAGCTGTTTCATAGCCGAAGTGGATATAAATCCGCTGGTTAGGTGTCCACAATATACGACGGAAGATCATCGTGCACTGGTGTTAATAATCACGAATTGATTAAATTTAGACAGCACTCATCCAAAAGTCAAGCGTTCACATGTAAAACCAAAGGTCCTGAGTTTGATTTACTATAAAGGAGTTTATAAATGTACACTATTGAGGAATTCCATACTAGAACATAACTACTGTCCACTGCTTCCTAGTTTTCAATAATGACCTAGATAAAATCAATTTGTGATATATAGTCTATGAAAATATATCTGTCACAATAAAAATAATTTCAAAAAAATACTACAGAATTTTGAACAACACATATATATTAAATCCTCATCAGGATTTACTCTAACGGCAACTAAACTGATTCCCGGAATAGCAAAGCTTCCGTATGAAGCTCGACTGGCCAAGCTGAACCTTTTCCCGTTGTCACATCGCAGAACTAGAGGCGACTTGATTACAGTTTTCAAATTGCTTAGTGCCGAATTTGCACCTGATATTCCCTCATTTTTCTTGTCTTCCGAAACAGAAAATTTACGAGGACACTCCAAAAAAGTTCACAAGCCAAGAACAAATTACTTGTCAGCTGACTATCGACTTTCCTATCGAATCATCAACGAGGGTCCATCCGTCGACTCTTTGAAAAGAAAGTTGGATCAACCGAGAGACCACCATTGCCAGGACTAACACAAGCCATCAAGCCTCCTATCCTTCCCAAACTGAAACTAATTAAAACTTGATGAGGATCTAATCGAATATCATATTGTTCTCTTATATCTATTTCGTTCTAAATTTACAATATGGGAATATTATAGAATGAATTACCTGCCAAAATTTCTTCCCACTATACAATGCCATGTTGGACCATATCTTGTATCAAATTCTTTTTTTAAATGATCAGCTATATCTTTTTCTAATTCATATTTTCGAACGGAATCCATTCCAATAGCAAGTGCACGTTTTTGCATTTCATGTGACATATCAGCATTTTTTATTACAGAATTATTCATTCTTTTATTGTTTTTGGATTATGGAATTGTAAAATTAATTAAAATGTATTAATGAATGAATAATTGAATATTGAAGTCTTTATTATTGAATATAGATGTATATGAATAACTCTTTAATATGAATGATAAAGGATAAACTATTGAAAGGTGAATTCGTTGTTCACTTTATATATATTGGTGAAGGATGAAAACAATAGTGATTTGATTCACAATCAGACAAGTGATTTTACATTATGTTTGTATACATATGATAGGTTGAAATGATGTGTATGATTGAATTCTATTTTAGCAAATCATAGTTTTAAGAATACATTTGATAAACACCTATGAAATCAATATTTATGATCATATATGAATGAATCAATACTATTACATATTACATAATGAAAGATTTTTTGGAAATTATTTAAGAAAAACATTATGAAATCTTTGTTTTTGATTGAGATCATGAACCGATTGATGTTAGACCACCGGTTCGAAACCTGAAAGCACTGGATGGCAGTTTCGTCCTATTGTGAGACTCCTGAGCAATGCGCATCCACGATTCCGCTCGCAGGGATTCGAACCCAGGGCCTTCGGCTTCGCGCGTGAACGCTTAACCCACTGGGCCCTCGAGCGGGATCGTGAATGCGCATTGCTGAGTAGTTCTACATTAGGATGAAACGGCCGTCCAGTGCTTCCAGGTTTCCAACGGTGGTCTAACACCAATCAGTTCATGATCTCAATCAAAAACTTAATAATCTCCACAAACCCTTTACTAGAAAGCTTTGTTTTTTTAATTTGATGATCTTGTTTGATTAGTAATATATTTTACTTTGATAATGATCATTATGAAATTATGTTTACTGGTAAATATGTGAATAAAGTATATACTAATTCAGTGCATGTTAGATATCGCCCTCAAATGGTCACGCGTATATAGCCACTGCCATGGAAGTCCTAGTCATTGATTTCTCGTGGAACTACTGTTGTTTACAAAATTGAGAGGATATGAATATGGAGGATCCACCTGGGGAAATTGGAAAACCCTGATTCCAAACCAATGGTGCAAATGAGCTCCAGTATCCTGAGGAAGCAAATGGCGTATGAACCGATCGTTGGTCATTGGCTACCATGTGACTACATCTCCTTACGTTGCTCTACTGTCTTGTGGATTAGACATTTCGGTCGATAACTTTGGGTGTAACACTCTATGAAAACCACCTGCTTCGGTTTAGGCACCCGACCAGTGTTAGGTAGTCGGAAAAATAGACCAATAATTATCATGTTAAGCCTAGTGATGTCCTTGGACGTTAAATGGACATTTCCTATTGGCCATTATTTATTTCATCCGTTAAATATTGTACAAATGTTGTTTTCTATTTTTATGGTACGATGTGGTATGCTTGATTGGTATATAAACAAATTATGTTTGAAATATAATGATTCATAACTCAGAGGGTGTGACATGTGTTCTTGACTCAACTGGTTGGGATAGACAGCGAAGCAGGGCCAGTCAGGGCACTAGGTCGTCCTTACGTGTTTACGTGTCACTGTAATCGATCGATCAATAAAACGCTGCTTATCAAAACCCTGCAGTCTCACACGTTACAACAACCAGTATCACAGCCCACACATAAATCAAGTGACTTGTGTGGCGTATATGTATACGGTGTCCCTTTGTACCAACATTCATCTGTTCAAATAATAATACATTATCTGTGTATATCAACAACCCCCTTGTACTTTCAAGCAAGTAAATTACTATATTGATAGTGAACAAGATGGTGAATACAAATTGAAATTTATACTTGTGATTAAATGCCTCATAATTATCATTGTTTCCACTCATTACTATTATTATTAATGGCCTTATTCAATATTAGATTTTGGTACAACATAGAATTCTCAGTAGGAGGTATTTCAACAAGTCTCTATTACAAAAACAAAAAAGTGAAAAAAAACAACAAAGAAAGAAAGGAAAATGGTGAAGAAAGATCTAAATCTGTACAGTATTTCATTTAGAGACATGCTTAAGAATACAGGTTGTTGATTAGGTCAACTCTAACAACCTGTTCGTCACAGAGTATATTTGCTAGGTAAGGTATTATAGAACTTTTATATCCTTGCTTGCGTACATGGATTTTGATGTACTGACGTCTCATTCTACCATAAGACATACAAGAAGAAAGATAAGAGTGAAGGGGATGGTTAGTATCTGACAAAATAACACGTGCCAGGAGTTTGCATGACTTTAGATGTCTATCCACAACCATATTGATTATGACTTCGAAAGATTCACCAAATACCTTGCTAACTGCCTTCTGCACTCTCCGCAATACAGCAAAATCTTTTCTCAAATGTCCGAGAGGGAATAATGGAGAACAGTAATGAATTATAGGTAATATGCAGGAATGTACAAATTATAAGAGTAAATGTCGAGTAATCTCAAAAGCATCCAATCTCTTTATGTAGTAAGTCTGACGGACAAATTTCTTCGATAACAGTAAAACATGAGAAGATCAAGAGAGATCAGAAGAAAAGGTGACACCAAGATAATTGACCTTCGACGCTGTGTTTCATCAAAGAATCTCCATTAGCACAAGTATTATGAGATGCCAAAAATGGTGTTAACGTGCTGTTCATGTCTCAGGCTAAAATTAATAGTGTGACATTTAGACGGATTAAGTATGAAACCATTAACAACAGACCACCATTCAATACGAGACAAAAACTCATTCATTTCTATGGGATGTAAAGAGTTAGAAATCGGCATGCATACAATGAGATCATCCGCATATTTCACAAAAGTGTTTTCTGTGGAAGATGGCAGATTATGCAGAAAAAAGGAGAAAAGAAGAGGTGAAAGAACAGTCCCTTGTGGCATACCTTCATGAGGCAGTAGAGGCGCTGAACACTTAATCAACTCGTGTCTACAGATTGTTTATAGTATACTCTGTAATGAACATCTCGTTGTTTATAAATGTATATAAATGTATAATCCTCAGTTGATAGGTATCCATACAAAAATTACATAGCATATTTCATAATTAACTAACTAAATTAAATGTCACTGTGACAATTATTCATAACCTACGATTCATTATCAATTTCCAACAAAATGTTTTGTGGAGATTATGAATTTTTCCGAGTTTTTGAACCATGAAATACAAGGTCGTAAATTTGCACAGATGAGGAGTTCAAAAGGTTAACCATTTCTTCCGGGTTTTTAAAAATGGTCTAACACTGGTTGGTGCAGGTTTTCAAAGAAAATTATTTTATCATATTACGGAACATTCGAACACATTCCTCTAAGAGAACAGAAAAATTAAACCTTATTGTGTTATTGAAACAGTATATATTTGTTCAGAAACGATTAAATGAGGTGTTTTATTTTTGAATACCTTACCGAATAATGTCTGGTGATCATTGGAAAATTGTAAATCCATTAAAGAGGAGAGATAATGGGTGTATAACTTTTCTCTTCAGTAGTATCATTTTTAAGCTACATAGTAGCATAAATCAGCTCAAAAATTAATATCTAGAGTATTATTCAATACCCCACTAAGAGATAAAAGCTACCTTAGCAGATCAAGGGTGTTTTGTTTCAGTCATAAAACTAGAGATTTTAGTTTCTTTTCTATACGTAAGCATTGCACAAAGGGATCAAATTGAACGGGAAATTACGAAAATATTCGGAAGAATAATTTAACAAGGATGGCTCACATGATTTCTTAAAGTCCAACTCCTTAAAATAGAAGTTCTTGCTATCAATGAGATGAAGCAAGAACTGTGTGTACAAAAAAAATAAGTCTTATCCTTATCTTTATCGTGGCCTTAGACTACTATTATTATTTTATTTCGTATTTGAAAATATCTTACTCTCTAAATATCTCTCGTATCCTTACAATTTTATTCATTATTGTTTCTGAATAAGTAGTAGTAGGTGGACGATGCGTTGATGTTTTAATGCAGATGGTACTGGGTTCGGGTCCAAGCATAGACATGAACTCCAGGATGCAATTACATTAAGAAAAGGAGAACCAAACAGAGAGGAACGCGCGTTCTTGATTATACTACTATCCACAAACCATCTCTGTTTATAATGCATATGACTTAATGAAAGTATCGGGGTAATCCACACAGGATACACATAAACCAACAGAGACTGATGAATCGCATTCCAAAACATCAAAATTTAAAAAACACAGCAAAAATGAAAAAAATGTGCGATCTTCTTAGGAAGGTTCCCTGGAAACGAGACGAAACCTTCAGAAGTTCTAAAGGAGCCAAAGAGATTCCATTCAATCAGAATCCGAAAGAATGTTTCAAAATATCAACATGGCATGCTGTGATTGGACAATTGTATAACTTCCTACCCGAGAATCGACTAGATTATAATGATATTATTGCCTGTACTAAAAACTATAAATACCCTTGTTTTTCTGTATATTTTTGACAACTACCTACTAACCACTTTCTCCTGCTTTCTTCGATTTCTTTGATTTGTGACTGTAGGTTTCTTTACGTTTGAGTTCAAGTAATTAAACAAGTAGAGGACATAACACATTTGACATGTAATAAACTTTATGTACCTTCTTTTTGAAAGTCATTCAGACAATATAAAGTTAACAGACTAATTGAATACTGTTAAAAGAATATGGTTATCACAAAAAGATATTTTAAATAAAACTCATTAAACTACTTATTTTGTTCAATATAATTTAGTGTAACTGATTATGTAACTAACAATAGTCTTTCAAGCAACATATCTTTTCATATGATTATAGACATACTTTGTTAAGGAATGTTGAAAATCTTAAATTTCGATCTCAACTTCATAGGTTAGTTTAATGATTAACATTACAAAAGACCAAATAGGTTCTGTAAATTACATTGTGGAATAGCTTCAATAGGTTAGAAATCTTGGATTTAATGGCTCTGTATTCGTTAGAAAACAAATTTAATCACAAAATTACTGTTCAAACTATTTAATTATTTCACTGGTTGAAATCATGAGTCGATTGAAGCTAGACCAGAATGGAGAACCTGGAAGCATTGGACGGCCGTTTCGTCCTAGTATGGGACTCCTCAGCAGTGTGCATCCACGGTCCCGCCCCCCGGCGAGATTCAAACCCAGGACCTATCGGTCTTGCGCCAGGCGCTCAACCAACTAAACCACTGAGCAGGTATCCAATGGTGTTAATGTCTACCTTCAATTGACTCATGATTTCAACCAGTGAAATTTCTAAAAATCTCCACAAAACCCAT